GCATGAGGGCATGAGGGCATGAGGGCATGAGGGCATGAGGGCATGAGGGCATGAGGGCGTGAGGGCATGAGGGCATGAGGGCGTGAGGGCATGAGGGCATGAGTGCATGAGGGCATGAGGGCATGATGGCGTGAGGGCATGAGTGCATGAGGGCATGAGCTCATGAGGGCATGAGGGCATGAGGGCGTGAGGGCATGAGGGCATGAGGACATGAGGGCATGAGGGCATGAGGGCATGAGGGCGTGAGGGCATGAGGGCGTGAGGGCATGAGGGCGTGAGGGCATGAGGGCATGAGGGCATGAGGGCATGAGGGCATGAGGGCATGAGGGCATAAGGGCATGAGGGCATGAGGGCATGAGGGCATGAGGGGATGAGGGCGTGACGGCATGAGGTCATAAGGGCGTGAGGGCATGAGGGCATGAGGGCGTGAGGGCATGAGGGCATGAGGGCATGAGGGCATGAGGGGATGACGGCATGAGGGCATGAGGGCATGAGGGCGTGAGGGCATGAGGGCATGAGGGCATGAGGGCGTGAGGGCATGAGGGCATGAGGGCATGAGGGCGTGAGGGCATGAGGGCATGAGGGCGTGAGGGCATGAGGGCATGAGGGCATGAGGGCATGAGGGCGTGAGGGCATGAGGGCGTGAGGGCATGAGGGCATGAGGGCATGAGGGCATGAGGGCGTGAGGGCATGAGGGCATGAGGGCATGAGGGCATGAAGGCATGAGGGCATGAGGGCATGAGGGGATGAGGGCATGAGGGCATGAGGGCATGAGGGCGTGAGGGCATGAGGGCATGAGGGCATGAGGGCATGAAAGGATGAGGGCATGAGGGCATGAGGGCATGAGGGCGTGAGGGCATGAGGGCATGAGGGCATAAGGGCTTGAGGTCTTGAGGGCATGAGTGCATGAGGGCATGAGGGCATGATGGCGTGAGGGCATGAGTGCATGAGGGCATGAGCTCATGAGGGCATGAGGGCATGAGGGCATGAGGGCATGAGGGCGTGAGGGCATGAGGGCATGAGGGCATGAGGGCGTGAGGGCATGAGGGCATGAGGGCATAAGGGCATGAGGGCATGAGGGCATGAGGGCATGAGGGCGTGAGGGCATGAGGGCATGAGTGCATGAGGGCATGAGGGCATGATGGCGTGAGGGCATGAGTGCATGAGGGCATGAGCTCATGAGGGCATGAGGGCATGAGGGCATGAGGGCGTGAGGGCATGAGGGCATGAGGGCATGAGGGCGTGAGGGCATGAGGGCATGAGGGCATGAGGGCGTGAGGGCGTGAGGGCATGAGGGCGTGAGGGCATGAGGGCGTGAGGGCATGAGGGCGTGAGGGCATGAGGGCATGAGGGCATGAGGGCGTGAGGGCATGAGGGCGTGAGGGCGTGAGGGCGTGAGGGCATGAGGGCATGAGGGCATGAGGGCATGAGGGCGTGAGGGCATGAGGGCATAAGGGCGTGAGGGCATGAGGGCATGAGGGCGTGAGGGCATGAGGGCATGAGGGCATGAGGGCATGAAAGGATGAGGGCATGAGGGCATGAGGGCATGAGGGCGTGAGGGCATGAGGGCATGAGGGCATGAGGGCGTGAGGGCATGAGGGCATGAGGGCGTGAGGGCATGAGGGCATGAGGGCATGAGGGCATAAGGGCATGAGGGCGTGAGGGCATGAGGGCATGAGGGCATGAGGGCATGAGGGCATGAGGGCATGAGGGCATGAGGGCATGAGGGCATAAGGGCATGAGGGCGTGAGGGCACGAGGGCATGAGGGTATGAGGGCGTGAGGGCATGAGGGCATGAGGGCATGAGGGCGTGAGGGCATGAGGGCATGAGTGCATGAGGGCATGAGGGCATGAGGGCATGAGGGCGTGAGGGCATGAGGGCATGAGGGCATGAGCTCATGGGGGCATGAGGGCATGAGGGCATGAGTGCATGAGGGCATGAGGGCATGAGGGGATGAGGGCATGAGGGCATGAGGGCATGAGGGCGTGAGGGCATGAGGGCGTGAGGGCATGAGGGCGTGAGGGCATGAGGGCATGAGGGCATGAGGGCATGAGGGCATGAGGGCGTGAGGGGATAAGGGCATGAGGGCATGAGAGCATGAGGGCATGAGGGCATGAGGGCGTGAGGGCATGAGGGCATAAGGGCGTGAGGGCATGAGGGCATGAGGGCGTGAGGGCATGAGGGCATGAGGGCATGAGGGCATGAGGGCATGAGGGCATGAGGGCGTGAGGGCATGAGGGCGTGAGGGCATGAGGGCGTGAGGGCACGAGGGCATGAGGGCATGAGGGTGTGAGGGCATGAGGGCATGAGGGCATGAGGGCGTGAGGGCATGAGGGCATGAGTGCATGAGGGCATGAGGGCATGATGGCGTGAGGGCATGAGTGCATGAGGGCATGAGCTCATGAGGGCATGAGGGCATGAGGGCATGAGGGCGTGAGGGCGTGAGGGCATGAGGGCATGAGGGGATGAGGGCATGAAGGCATGAGGGCGTGAGGGCATGAGGGCGTGAGGGCATGAGGGCATGAGGGCATGAGGGCATGAGGGCATGAGGGCGTGAGGCGATAAGGGCATGAGGGCATGAGGGCATGAGGGCATGAGGGCATGAGGGCGTGAGGGCATGAGGGCATAAGGGCGTGAGGGCATGAGGGCGTGAGGGCGTGAGGGCATGAGGGCATGAGGGCATGAGGGCATGAGGGCATGAGGGGATGAGGGCGTGAGGGTATGAGGGCGTGAGGGCATGAGGGCATGAGGGCATAAGGGCATGAGGGCATGAGGGCATGAGGGCATGAGGGCGTGAGGGCATGAGGGCATGAGGGCATAAGGGCATGAGGGCATGAGGGCGTGAGGGCATGAGGGCATAAGGGCGTGAGGGCATGAGGGCATGAGGGCGTGAGGGCATGAGGGCATGAGGGCATGAGGGCATGAGGGGATGACGGCATGAGGGCATGAGGGCATGAGGGCGTGAGGGCATGAGGGCATGAGGGCGTGAGGGCGTGAGGGCATGAGGGCATGAGGGCGTGAGGGCATGAGGGCATGAGGGCGTGAGGGCATGGGGGTATGAGGGCATGAGGGCATGAGGGCATGAGGGCATGAGGGCATGAGGGCATGAGGGCGTGAGGGCATGAGGGCATGAAGGCATGAGGGCATGAGGGCATGAGGGTGTGAGGGCATGAGGGCATGAGGGCATGAGGGCATGAGGGGATGAGGGCATGAGGGCATGAGGGCATGAGGGCGTGAGGGCATGAGGGAATGAGGGCATGAGGGCATGAGGGCATGAGGGCATGATGGCGTGAGGGCATGAGGGCATGAGGGCGTGAGGGCATGAGGGCATGAGGGCGTGAGGGCATGAGGGCATGAGGGCGTGAGGGCATGAGGGCATGAGGGCATGAGGGCGTGAGGGCATGAGGGCATGAGGGCATGAGGGCGTGAGGGCATGAGGGCATGAGTGCATGAGGGAATAAAGGCATTATGGCGTGAGGGCATGAGGGCATGAGGGCATGAGGGCATGAGTGCATGAGGGCATGAGGGGATGAGGGCATGAGGGCATGAGGGCATGAGGGCATGAGGGCGTGAGGGCATGAGGGCGTGAGGGCGTGAGGGCATGAGGGCATGAGGGCATGAGGGCGTGTGGGCATGAGGGCATGAGGGTGTGAGGGCATGAGGGCATGAGGGCATGAGGGCATGAGGGGATGAGGGCATGAGGGCATGAGGGCGTGAGGGCGTGAGGGCATGAGGGCATGAGGGCATGAGGGCATGAGGGCATGAGGGTGTGAGGGCATGAGGGCATGAGGGCATGAGGGTGTGAGGGCATGAGGGCATGAGGGCATGAGGGCATGAGGGCATGAGGGCATGAGGGCGTGAGGGCATGAGGGCATGAGGGCATGAGGGCGTGAAGGCATGAGGGCATGAGGGAGTAAAGGCATTATGGCGTGAGGGCATGAGGGCATGAGGGCATGAGGGCATGAGGGCATGAAGGCATGAGGGCATGAGGGCATGAGGGCATGAGGGCATGAGGGCATGAGGGCGTGAGGGCATGAGGGCATGAGTGCATGAGGGCATGAGGGCATGATGGCGTGAGGGCATGAGAGCATGAGGGCATGAGGGCATGAGGGCATGAGGGCATGAGTGCATGAGGGCATGAGGGCATGAGTGCATGAGTGCATGAGTACATGACGGCAGGAGTACATGAGGGCATGAGGGCATGAGGGCATGAGGGCGTGAGGGCATGAGGGCGTGAGGGCATGAGGGCGTGAGGGCGTGAGGGCATGAGGGCATGAGGGCATGAGGGCATAAGGGCATGAGGGCATAAGGGCATGAGGGCATGAGGGCATGAGGGGATGAGGGCGTGAGGGCATGTGGGCATAAGGGCGTGAGGGCATGAGGGCATGAGGGCGTGAGGGCATGAGGGCATGAGGGCATGAGGGCATGAGGGCATGAGGGGATGACGGCATGAGGGCATGAGGGCATGAGGGCATGAGCTCATGAGGGCATGAGGGCATGAGGGCATGAGGGCGTGAGGGCGTGAGGGCATGAGGGCATGAGGTGATGAGGGCGTGAGGGCATGAGGGCATGAGGGCGTGAGGGCATGAGGGCGTGAGGGCATGAGGGCGTGAGGGCATGAGGGCGTGAGGGCATGAGGGCATGAGGGCATGAGGGCATGAGGGCATGAGGGCATGAGGGCATAAGGGCATGAGGGCATGAGGGCATGAGGGCATGAGGGCATGAGGGCGTGAGGGCATGAGGGCATAAGGGCGTGAGGGCATGAGGGCATGAGGGCGTGAGGGCATGAGGGCATGAGGGCATGAGGGCATGAGGGCATGAGGGCATGAGGGCGTGAGGGCATGAGGGCGTGAGGGCATGAGGGCGTGAGGGCACGAGGGCATGAGGGTATGAGGGCGTGAGGGCATGAGGGCATGAGGGCGTGAGGGCATGAGGGCATGAGTGCATGAGGGCATGAGGGCATGATGGCGTGAGGGCATGAGTGCATGAGGGCATGAGCTCATGAGGGCATGAGGGCATGAGGGCATGAGGGCGTGAGGGCGTGAGGGCATGAGGGCATGAGGGGATGAGGGCATGAGGGCATGAGGGCATGAGGGCATGAGGGTGTGAGGGCATGAGGGCATGAAGGCATGAGGGCGTGAGGGCATGAGGGCGTGAGGGCATGAGGGCATGAGGGCATGAGGGCATGAGGGCATGAGGGCATGAGGGCATAAGGGCATGAGGGCATGAGGGCATGAGGGCATGAGGGCATGAGGGCGTGAGGGCATGAGGGCATAAGGGCGTGAGGGCATGAGGGCGTGAGGGCGTGAGGGCATGAGGGCATGAGGGCATGAGGGCATGAGGGCATGAGGGCATGAGGGCGTGAGGGCATGAGGGCGTGAGGGCATGAGGGCGTGAGGGCATGAGGGCATGAGGGCATGAGGGCATGAGGGCATGAGGGCATGAAGGCATGAGGGCATGAGGGCATGAGGGCATGAGGGCATGAGGGCATGAGGGCGTGAGGGCATGAGGGCATGAGTGCATGAGGGCATGAGGGCATGATGGCGTGAGGGCATGAGAGCATGAGGGCATGAGGGCATGAGGGCATGAGGGCATGAGTGCATGAGGGCATGAGGGCATGAGTGCATGAGTGCATGAGTACATGACGGCAGGAGTACATGAGGGCATGAGGGCATGAGGGCATGAGGGCGTGAGGGCATGAGGGCGTGAGGGCATGAGGGCGTGAGGGCGTGAGGGCATGAGGGCATGAGGGCATGAGGGCATAAGGGCATGAGGGCATAAGGGCATGAGGGCATGAGGGCATGAGGGCATGAGGGCGTGAGGGCATGAGGGCGTGAGGGCATGAGGGCATGAGGGCATGAGGGCATAAGGGCGTGAGGGCATGAGGGCATGAGGGCGTGAGGGCATGAGGGCATGAGGGCATGAGGGGATGAGGGCATGAGGGCATGAGGGCGTGAGGGCATGAGGGCGTGAGGGCACGAGGGCGTGAGGGCACGAGGGCATGAGGGTATGAGGGCGTGAGGGCATGAGGGCATGAGGGCGTGAGGGCATGAGGGCATGAGTGCATGAGGGCATGAGGGCATGATGGCGTGAGGGCATGAGTGCATGAGGGCATGAGCTCATGAGGGCATGAGGGCATGAGGGCATGAGGGCGTGAGGGCGTGAGGGCATGAGGGCATGAGGGGATGAGGGCATGAGGGCATGAGGGCATGAGGGCATGAGGGCGTGAGGGCATGAGGGCATGAAGGCATGAGGGCGTGAGGGCATGAGGGCGTGAGGGCATGAGGGCATGAGGGCATGAGGGCATGAGGGCATGAGGGCATGAGGGCATAAGGGCATGAGGGCATGAGGGCATGAGGGCATGAGGGCATGAGGGCGTGAGGGCATGAGGGCATAAGGGCGTGAGGGCATGAGGGCGTGAGGGCGTGAGGGCATGAGGGCATGAGGGCATGAGGGCATGAGGGCATGAGGGCATGAGGGCGTGAGGGCATGAGGGCGTGAGGGCATGAGGGCGTGAGGGCATGAGGGCATGAGGGCATGAGGGCATGAGGGCATGAGGGCATGAAGGCATGAGGGCATGAGGGCATGAGGGCATGAGGGCATGAGGGCATGAGGGCGTGAGGGCATGAGGGCATGAGTGCATGAGGGCATGAGGGCATGATGGCGTGAGGGCATGAGAGCATGAGGGCATGAGGGCATGAGGGCATGAGGGCATGAGTGCATGAGGGCATGAGGGCATGAGTGCATGAGTGCATGAGTACATGACGGCAGGAGTACATGAGGGCATGAGGGCATGAGGGCATGAGGGCGTGAGGGCATGAGGGCGTGAGGGCATGAGGGCGTGAGGGCGTGAGGGCATGAGGGCATGAGGGCATGAGGGCATAAGGGCATGAGGGCATAAGGGCATGAGGGCATGAGGGCATGAGGGCATGAGGGCGTGAGGGCATGAGGGCATAAGGGCGTGAGGGCATGAGGGCATGAGGGCGTGAGGGCATGAGGGCATGAGGGCATGAGGGCATGAGGGCATGAGGGCATGAGGGCATGAGGGATGACGGCATGAGGGCATGAGGGCATGAGGGCATGAGCTCATGAGGGCATGAGTGCATGAGGGCATGAGGGCATGAGTGCATGAGGGCATGAGGGCATGAGGGGATGAGGGCATGAGGGCATGAGGGCATGAGGGCGTGAGGGCATGAGGGCGTGAGGGCATGAGGGCGTGAGGGCATGAGGGCGTGAGGGCATGAGGGCGTGAGGGCATGAGGGCATGAGGGCATGAGGGCATGAGGGCATGAGGGCATAAGGGCATGAGGGCATGAGGGCATGAGGGCATGAGGGCATGAGGGCGTGAGGGCATGAGGGCATAAGGGCGTGAGGGCATGAGGGCATGAGGGCGTGAGGGCATGAGGGCATGAGGGCATGAGGGCGTGAGGGCATGAGGGCGTGAGGGCATGAGGGCGTGAGGGGGGCGTGAGTGCATGAGGGCATGAGGGCATGAGGGGATGAGGGCATGAGGGCATGAGGGTTTAGGGTTTAGGGTTTAGGGTTTAGGGTTTAGGGTTTAGGGTTTAGGGTTTAGGGTTTAGGGTTAGGGTTTTAGGGTTTTAGGGTTTTAGTGTAGGGTTTAGGGTTTAGGGTT